TGAGTAATTATAATTTATAGTGACATGAAGAATAGAGTTGAGTGAATTCACCTGGATGCTGAGTCAACTGTCCTTTGAACTCATGCAAATTTAAAATATTGGTCAAAATTAATTTATCCCAAGTTTTTTTCAATCCTGATCTAAGATATTTCTTTGGTGAGTAATACAATGATAAGTAAAAAAAGCAGAAGATTTAAATATTTTGTGCTCACTATCACTTTTCATCATCTTGTGTTTTGKTTTTCATTATAGACTATATAAATATTATATCATTTACAAAACAGTATTCTAAATGGTGGCTCCCTTGAAAGATCATAAAATATTATAGAACCAAAGCAAATTGAAGAGATAATGGGAAGCGAGAAGACACAAAGAATGGATTAGTGACAAAAAAGTGTCTCTCGGATATTCATGTCTTCACAGTACTTCATGTAGCTAGTGGTGATAGACTAGCACTCCATGTTTTTAATTTGCATTTTCTGGTATTATTTCCACCAACTTCACATAAAATATATTTTCAATTTCATTTTCAATCAGGGAAAAAACAAAAAAATTACAGCAATTGAGCAACCAATGAAAACAGAAACAAATCTTAGCCAATTTCAAAAATGTATATCAGAAACATATCATATAGCGCTTCACACATATTTTAAAGCTCCAACTACGTTGCAAATTTCGATTCAATTGCACTCAAATTTTCACAGAAGTCACAGTGATTATCGATAATTCTTGTTTATAAATTAATTTGCCAAAAAATGAAGCCATTTGGATAAACAATATAAAATAAAAACAGCTTCATTTTTCTTCAAAATTAATTTTCTCGAAACTCATTGCAGAGATTGTAATAAAATTTTTAGAATAATTCTAAATAACTATAACTGACTATATATATATAAATGTTAAGAAATGTATAAGGTCTAATATATAAAGTAAAGACACTAGACTCAGTTTTGGGCACAAAGAGAGGTTTAATATGTATAACAACAATAAAATACGAAAACCTGGTCAAAAAACCACTGACCGATAAACCTCTCTAGCTACCAAGCAGCACCCAAAACCGAGCCCCCACTAGTGAAAACTAACAATAAGTGAGATGCTCTAATGAGGCCTTAATGCGAGAAGCCAGCAACAATTTTGAATCTAAGGATAAATCAATATACCCCTTATAAGCGTCCAAGGACCAATCACCAAATATTTGAATCAGCTCACCGGCTACATACACCAACATTAAAGGCCCACGAAGTTCCTCCCCTGAGAAAGGAGTGGCCTCTGTAAAGCACAGGATTCTCAATTCCCGCTAGAGTTAACTTACTCCTAAAGAAACTAACAAACTGAGGTTTGGTAACTGGGTACAGCTTACTTTTGGAATCTGGAACCACAAATGCCGGAGACTTGCTATCGGCTGGTAAACACTTACACATTAAGTGATACACTCTCACTGGGCACAGAGGGGACCCTGGGATAGCTAAAAGAGGAATAACTAACTTACGTTGCCCAAACTGAATAGTCTTGGTCCACTTAAAAGTAACTGAAAGACCGTATTCTGTCTGAACGATATCTCCCCTACAAAGATTCTTGTGCGGATCAAAAGTGTGAACCGAATGTGGAATAATAKTGGAAATCCGAGCGAATAAAAAGAAAGCGAACAAAAAGGAAGTCATAAAAACTAGATCCTGTGGGCAAGTAAGATCACTAACTTTAAAAATCTTATATAATAACTCTGGGATAACTGGAGGGGCTTTACTGGGACAATGAAGAGCCAGCCTCTGAATGCCTTGCAAGGTGAGACGTAAATAATAAAACTCCAACGACACAATAAAATAGCACATGTAAACTTAGTATTGAAACATCATGTAGTAGTAATTTAATATCTTGTTGTCCAGGAAGACACAGGGATCCCGTTCCTGTTGTCGAATTAATACTGACGAAGTTAGAATAAAATCTTAACCTAAATTTTCGAATTGCTTCGCTTTTTGGCAAATTAATTTATCAACAAGAATTATCGATAATCACTGTTACTTCTGTGAAAATTTGAGTGCAATGGAATCGAAATTTGCGACGTAGTTGGAGTTTAGCACGAAGATAGTTCCGAGGTATAAGTTTGCGAGCCGTGACAACCAAGTTACTCCTAGATAGTCTATTACTTATAACAATCACTTATCTTTTGTTGCAATTAAATATTTCATGGAGTATTGGACCCTTTATAAATGACTTCCTAATAATGCATTGAAGCGGGCCTAAACCACCCACCGGGTGACTCGTCTATTTTAATAACTAAGTTACTCCTATATAGTCTATTACTTACAACAATCACTTACCGTTTTTTGCATTTGCATGTAAATACAGCTTCATGGAGTATCGGAAAATAGAGGAATACAACAGCAAATAGGATTATGGCCATTACCGAAAACAAATAGAACTTCGTACATCTAGAGCGTAGCAGCACATTTAACGGCCCAAACATCTTTATATTAATTCTTGGTAAAGTACGGCAAATTACACATTCATTCCGGCTTCAGAGCACTATATATAGCCAACATAAATAAAGGGGTCAAACAATATTTTGCTATGTCACGAGTTTTGCTATTATGTAAGGGTACTATGTCGTAAACTCATGCGCCTCGTCCCATCGACGGCGCTGGCCAAGAAAAACGGAGGCTCGGCGTACGACATTAGCCTCGGGGAGACCTACGTAGCACGCAGTTGATGTAATGTATTCATAAAATRTATTGTATTCSMTTGTTTCTCGTTCTATTGTATTATGTGTTTTGTATYATATCTTTATGAATATATTACATCAACTGAGTGCTACGTAGATTCTCCCCATTAGCCTCCTGCCTCCTCCAGCCTGCTAAGAATCACGGGCTTCCTGTCTTTTTGAGGAGTCAAAAGAGGGAGAATGGGGACGAGAAAAGCCCCAACGGCTAAAATGACCGTTGCACAGCGTAAAATAGATCGCTAAAAAGGTTTATTCGGCATCTCTCTCAATAAGCGCGGGGGAATGGCGGGAAAATCTAAAAATAGCACCAAGAAGGGTAAGGGCCGTTCCACAAGGCCATGAGAAGAGGAAAGATCCTAGTATATTATTGGCTCCTGGCCTTTACCTTATCTAAATTAACCTAAATAAAAAATGAATCATATCATTGGACATATCATCACAAAATAAACAAAGATTTCAAAGTTTGGTCGCTTTTGGTTAAATAATGTGTGAGAAATGGAACTTCAAAATGTTCTGAATTCAGTACAAGGAAATGTATGTTTTGGATGGACAGTGTCCATCCAGTACTTACATTTCTTTGTAATTTTTGACAATTTTTATTTTGTGGTGCATGGTCTTTCCAATGATATGATTAATTTTTTAATTAGATTTGATCAGATTTATTCAGATAGCTAGTACCAGAAGTACATAACCACTACCAGAAGTGTCCATCTGATATCTCATATATACTTTTTCCTAGTTTTTGCAGACCATATTGCTCTTGAAATACTTTTGCTGCATTGATCATATAGTAAAGTATGTTTTCTATAGAATTCAAAAATGATTGTTCAGCAAAAGGTGCCAGTAAAATTTCTCGTAAATGCGAACTTCAATTCGTTCGCCTCCATCGACTACATAATTTTCCTTTCTTGYCCGCTCTTGAAGTAGATCAACAAGGACCAATCAGGTGCTGTGTAATATGTACGCGCGTTGTGATTGGTTGTCTAAAAATAGATTATCGGGACATCTGATGGTGGCGATATTATTGAGGTGGACACTTCTGGTTCAGAGGAGGGAACAGTAGTACCCCACAATGCATTGCGTTTCAGACTATATGTTGTGGTTTGAAGTTAAGCTTTATTTAACTAAACCGAGTATACATGAATGAAAAGATGGCTGACTGAAAACAACGCATGCACGAGGCACGGGCTGACATGCGCAATCATGACATACATATATGACTGGAAATGACACACCGGAAGTAAAACTATAACATCCCCCTTACTAAAGAAAAAAAACACATGTTTACAATTATATATGAATAATAAAAAGCATAATTGGGGATGGAAGCAAAATGTCCTAAACAAGTCACGTTGTACAGTAAATGTATAGCAAACATGCTATAAGTTCAGTTTATCAGTTGGCTTCACTAGACGAGTGGATCTTCGGACAGGTGGAGTGGGTGGTGTTGTATCGTTGGGCTTGATAGGACTGCTTGGTGTAGATTGTTCCTGTTTTATGTTAGGTTTGTTGTCCACTGCTAGATCGTCAGATGTCGTCGGTGTTGGCAACGCTGGAATATTAGGTCTGACTGTTTCACCAGTAGGGCGTATGTGTCTACGGTTTCTCGTTAAGGTCCCGCCTCTGCTCATATTGACGGTGTAAGAACGAGGTGTTGTTGAGGTAACTTGAACAGTCTCTGCTTCCCACTTAGAGTTGAGGGGGTTGTACACTCTGACTGCATCCTGTGGGTAGACCGGTGGTAGCGCTCTCGAAGTCTGATCATAGTGGTACTTCTGACGATCCTGTTTGTGCTGTAGCTTCGTGTTAGCATCATAGTCAGGTCTGTCAGACATAGCATGCTTGGATATGGCTGGAAGATTTGACTGGTATCTTCTAGAGTTTAGCAGTTCTGCAGGCGATGGAAGGTNAATTAAGTGATAAAAAACTGTTTTTTAGAAAAAACATTTTAATGCACGACGTTTCGACGTTAACATAACGTCATTTTCAAGTAAAGGGGAATGGAAATTACAAAATGCTAATATTTAACAAATAGATCTCATTTTTCCGTGCGTGTGTACTCTAATAGATACACAGATGACGTCAAAATGTAGTGAGAACAAAAAAGTACGCACGAGACGCAGTCGAGTGCGTGACTGTTGTTCTCACTACATTTTGACGTCATCTGTGTATCTATTAGAGTACACACGCACGGAAAAATGAGATCTATCTGTTTTATACAACAAACAATTAGTTTTGACGTAATCCGTGTATCTATACTTTGATAACACACGAAAGCCAACCAATCAAAATGTCTGATTTTACTGAAAAGTTGTATAAATAGGAATAAAACAATAGGAGCTAATTTACAATTAAGAATATAAAGGAAAATATGTACAATGAAATATAATAAAAAGAATGTGTAACAATGTAAAATAAGAAAATACAAGTAAACAACAATACGAAATATAAAGATAACATTGAATAAAAAGTTATGGCATGGATTCGCTAAAGGAAGCCCAAAACAAAAAAGCACAGGGAACCCGCACGAATGATATACAATTCTTTGATATGAATTTATAAATGATTTTTACTATCTGTATCATATTAGATTAATGATATAAAACAATATCACAAACTTATTTAATAAACAATGCAGTCAATTATGTAAATGATTTAAAACATTATATCTGATAGAAGTTTACTCAAAACAATTTTTCCTCATAAATTTCAGTCGTCAGGATTTTGTAGACCATTTTGTACAGGCTGGCATTCCCAAAGTACTTCGATTTGGTTAGAGATACCCGAAATTACTTTGAGTTGGTTACAGACACTCAACTCACTCACTCACTCATAATCAATGACATAGTGACAAGAGGCCTTCCCAGAAGGCCTTTTGTCACAACAAAATCTTTAGTCTGAATTGAATTTAATACCAAGACTGGCACCAAAATGGTAGCCAAGTCACAAATTGAAGTAGCGTTCATGACAAGAAAACAAGTTGTGYATCATGTTTTTAAGACACTATTGATCWATAAAAGAGTTTTCRGTCAGGTATTAAGAGTSAAGGGTATGACACCAATGGTCACATGACCAGGATCAGAATGATCAAAACACCAATTTATAAAAATAATTAACATTAAAAACAATTAATATTTGATTTTGATGTTGTAGCAAAAATATGAGTAATTATAATTTATAGTGACATGAAGAATAGAGTTGAGTGAATTCACCTTTTTATGCTGAGTCAACTGTCCTTTGAACTCAATATGCAAATTTAAAATATTGGTCAAAATTAATTTATCCCTAGTTTTTGTCAATAGTCAAGTTTCACGATCTCTTTTACACTTTGTTAGCCTCAATTGTGTGCTAAAATATTCAGAAATGTAGATAAAACTCATGAGATTTCAAACTATTTCCATTGTCTTCTATACTCACAGATCTCTTGCATTTGCACAGGCTGTGAATAAAAGAATTTATTACATGGTTTTGAGGCTAACACAGCGTAAAAGAGATCGCTAAAAGGGTTTATTCCTGATCTAAGATATTACTTTGGTGAGTAATACAATGATAAGTAAAAAAATCAGAACATTTAAATATTTTGTGCTCCTATCACTTTTCATCATCTTGTGTTTTGTTTTTCATTATAGACTATATAAATATTATATCATTTACAAAACAGTATAATTCTAAATGGTGGCTCCCTTGAAATATCACAAAATGTTATAAAAACAAATCAAATTGAAGAGATAAATGGAAGCGAGAAGACACAAAGAATGGATTAATTATAGTGACAAAAAGTGTCTCTCGAATATTCATGTCTTCACAGTACTTCATGTAACTAGTAGTGATAGACTAGCACACAAACAAAAAAATATTATCAGCAATTGAGCAACCTATGAAAACAGAAAAAAATCTTAGCCAATTGAAATCCCAGGGAGGGGGAATTTCAAAAATGATACCAAAAAGAACATATCACAAACTATCATATAATTAATCAATGAAATACCTATATTTC